TTAATTGCAGATCCGTATATAATCAATAGATTTTTATAGGCGCACAATTTATAATACAAATAATATAAGTACATATTTGATTATATAAAAAGATAATCATTTTTTGCCTAATTTATAATTCTACACTTATTACATGTAGCACAAATCTCGAACATGTTATTCGCATTGATAAAACCATTTATTATTTATAGTTTTAAAAAGTTTTATATGAAGGAAAGGAAGATTTCATATAATATTTTTTGTCAATTTTATGTTTAATTATATTCTAACTACTATCTTCGACGTTTATTAGTCGTTTCGGTATGATCACTATTCTTTAACAGTGCGTTTTCTGACGCTTCTTTTTTGAAATTTGCACTGTATCTTCCTATCCAACCTTTTATAGTTTTCACTGATGGTATTTCCTCAAAAGTAAGTTCTCCATTTGCGGCTAAGTCCTCTAAGCTGGCATGCATGCCTTCAGGTGAGTAACGATCTTCTGCTTTCAAATTTCCCGCTAAAAAAAAACCCTGCAAGTATTGTATTACTTTTTTCGTCATGTGCTTTCCTGCACCCTTTTTACCAAGTTTCATATTCTCTTTTAGAGCCCATCCTGCATTAAAAGGGAACTCTTGATCCATGCTATAACATAAGGTGTTAGTATGCAAAATATACCGAATGGAGTGGCTAATAGCTTAGTTTAAACATACTACCTTGAATCTTCAAGTTGATAGATTCGTAGGCAGTTCATGCGTGGGAAATCAGAATGAATAAGTATCATGTAATACATTAACTAGCGTCCTAATTTATGCAGAATTAGCAACCACCAAAAGTGCGGGTTTTATAATAATGCACAATTATCAATCAATTCATTGTAATCGTACATTAATTATAGTATTATCGCATGATCCGCACTTTTGGTGGTCGCTCTAGCTATATATGTATCTAATTACCTCTTATAGCATTTGATGTTTCATCTAATTCATCATTACTAACTAAAATATCAATTTATAGGAGGGCTAGCGTTAGTAAAATGTGATACAACTAAGTCGACTAGTTGATCCCTTATATCATTTTTGAAAACACTCGCACACGATAATCGTAAGATTATTAAGAGCAAGTTTTTTTTATAATATAAAGTTGATCGTGAAGATTCAACTTTAGAAGAATCGATATGAATACTGTTCAGCGTTGCATATAGTGCTCCGATCGGGTTAACCTGAACAACCCGAAACCAACCTGGTTATAGCAAATCTATTAGATGGGTCATGACCCATATAGTAAATCTATTATAATCGGGTTGGTTTCGGGTTGTTCGGGTCAACCCGATCGGAGCACTAGTTGCATATAGTACCCCTGGAGCAGTATCCCCTTTTTTTATGATAAGCGATTTGTGGCCAATGTTCGTGAATCTTTTCATTGGGTTTGATATGTTTAATAGGAAGGAATATATAGATCAGTAATGATGATTTGTATTATCCTACCATCTTTCAATGTCTAGGGTATTATTCAACCTAGGCCGACTTTCTAGAAAAGTACCCGGGGTACTATATGCATCGCTATATGGTAATTATGAAGTAAAGATTCTTCATGATTTATGTCTTTAAATACTACCATATTACCTGATCTGTTGCTTGTTTCTTTGTTCATAGATAATTCTAATAAAAAAAAATTATTTTTACATTTTTTTTGCCAATTAAATATAACACATGAGCATTCTTGCCTGTTCTTTTATGAATTGGCATTGTCCAAGCGGTTTTGGGTTTAGACGGCTCAGAAAATATCGGCGATGGTCTGTTATAGAAGGTAGCAATTTGTTCAGGTCGGAAATCAGTCCACACACCTATGTGAGGAAGGGAACGAGCACGAATATATCCTGCAAATTGACCCGTTATGGGCCAGGACCACTCAAACCATTTAGAAATGCCGGGTATAGTTTTGAATTTTTTTTTATTGACATCAGCTCCTAATTGGTGACTAATTTTATCATTTTGTAAAAATAATTGCACAAATGTATAAGATCGTTGACACTACTCGGATCAGAATATCTGACATGTTGAATAGTACAGTATGCTTTGAATTTTATTTGACATGCAGATAATTTACTAGTACAAAAACTAATAGAGACAAACTTATTTTAATTTGAACCTACTTTAATGATTCAGAACTTATTTCTACATTGTCTTGATCCATTAATAATATTGATTCATCTACCATTTTGTTACGATTTGGTTCTATATGCGCTATAGATGTTCCGCTTAGATTCTGAAGTGCTGTTTCGATATTTGTTCCATCGGTAAGATCACACCCAATTCTGACATATCTTTTAATCGCATGCGCAATCTATACTTAATATCATACTTTATTAGTAGAAGGTAAAAAAAAAAAAAAAAATCAAATATGGAGTCTTTGCCTTGAAAATGACCTTATGGGTAGTGATATAAATCGACAAAAATTTTTCAATCGATTAGTTGATAGATCATTTTACCAACTAATTGATTAATCGGTTTTATTCAACTAATCGATTAGTTTGCCAATTGATCAATCAACTAATCGATTAATCGATTAGTTAACTAATTGATTGGTTGAATAAATAATAAGCGAAACTTGGTAAAATACACATAAGATAGCAACTGAAATAGCCGGGTTGATATTCTTATGTGATCGGTTGATTAATCAACCAATCGACTAGTTGATTAATCGATTAGTTGGCCAATCGATTAATCGATTAGTCAGATTAATCAACCGATCACATAAGAATATCAACCCGGCTATTTCAGTTGCTGTCTTATGTGTAGTTTACAAAGTTTCGCTTATTATTTATTCAACCAATCGATTAGTTAACTAATCGATTAATCGATTGGCAAACTAATCGATTAGTTGAATAAAACCGATTAATCAATTAGTTGGTAAAATGACCTATCAACTAATCGATTGAAAAATTTTTGTCGATTTATATCACTAGCAAAAACTCCATATAATTCGGAATCTACTTGCTGTTGCGTGGTGAGAGTCGACAGTAGTTTTGGCTTCTCCTGGCTCAAGAAAAATCCATCCACGCACTTCCACATTATACCAATTATACCAATGACTAATAATCGTCATTAATTCCGAGTTATGATAGTGCCCTCCATTGTCCGAAATTATTTTAATCCAATGTGGTTTGGGATTTATTGTCATGAATACTGCCTCAAAACATGATGCCGTGAACCAAGCATCTTGCTTGGTATCAGAACTCCAATGATCATAGGCTTGAATATCTAAATTTTCATTATCATTTTTATCTTTTTGAAATACCAAAGTCGTATGCAACGTCCATCCTCGCTTTCCAAAAAATTGGCTTTTTGTTTCCCGAGCTGTTGCAGGTAAAATCCGCATTTTATAATCAACTACAATAACGGCCCCGAAATCCTCTAACTCTAACTCTTGTAATGTGGAATTAAATTGAGCATTTAGATATTTTTTACGAGTCTGGTGTGCTAAATAACATGTCAACTGGTTTTGGCATTCCGAAAGTTTAGTATAATAGGTAGTATCGAGTTTATTTATAAGGTTTTCAAATAAGTCGAACAATTTATCACACTCTTGACACCGAGAAAAATGCTGATATTTACATTCGCCAAAAGCAAATAACAAACAATGGTTGATGCAATCTACATGATTAGTTGTACCATTCTCACTTACAACCAATTCATTCTCGTAACTCCGTTTTAGGTGACGGCGCAATGTTTCGATTTCATTAATATAATGGTCCTACAAAATGTATATATTAATAAGGTAATAACATAATAACATAAAATTTTTTATATTTAACTAACCCGTAATATTTTATTAGGAAAGTTTTTATTAATTATTTCAACTAGATTCTCGAATGGTTGATAACCATAATCGTTGCATGTTGGGCACAATCCTCCTAAATCTTCTCGATAACAAAAACGGCTATTTTGTAAACGGCCCATAAAAGAAGTGCGTCTCATTCCATCAGGATATATAGCGGAGAACTTTTCCCAAAGTGCACTTTTTTGATCTTTCAAATAAAGAATGGGTAATTGTGTTTTTTCATCGACCTTGTAAGAACTCATATTTACATTGTCCTTATCACTAAAAAATAATTCAAACTCTCTTTCTTTAATCTCAGACATTTTTTGATGAGTAATCACGGGTTTCTCTAACGAAATACAACCAGGACCATTGATACGAGAAAACTGCCGTGCCGCATTGATAGTATTAGGCGATATCTATGTTATGTATAATTTATTTAATACTATTACAGTTTATAATTTTATTGATCATATAAAACATACATTTAACCTATCTATAATTTCCTGATACGTAAACCTTTCTGCAATTATTGATAGTATGCGCACTTTACCGTTCGTTCCCTTCAAATTTGCATTGTAACTATCCCGGAAGCAGTCCCAAAATGCTTTGATAGTTAAAGCTTGTGGCGATATATTTAAAATTCCGTCTTCATATAGGGTCTTGAGTATATCGCGGTCTTTATCAGGATCAGATGCGTTTGTCCAATATTCATTCTATATTTATTTTTGTTAGCTTATTAATACTTTGACTTATATGAATTTTATATAATATATAAATAGTTCTGCGAAATTATGTAAGTATTGTTAGAAGAAAATTTTAATCAGGATTTTAAATTTATAATTTTTCGGATTTTATTTCGATTACGGTAGTAATACGAAATCAGATAAGTCCAATAAATTATAAATCTAAAAGCCTGAGGTCTGATTTTCTTCTAATGATGCTTATATAAATACGATCAAGAAATATTGTTTATATATTGAAGTTTTTATTTATTATAGCTAGGGCAATTTATTGTATTTTATTGTGCAAAATCAGCCAGAGTCTCTTAAACCAATTTAGACACCCAGGTCTGTAAGAAAGAAAGCCTATCATTAAGAGAAGCATCATATATAATTATATAGACCCGGGTCTTTTACCTTTTTATCTCAAATCAAACGTAGATATCAAACCCGGGTCTACTACCATCAAGGTAGATAATGATAACAATCGGATTAATGGATAATTTTTATGTATTACATAGTGTTTTTTTTTTTCTTTTTTTTTTTTTTTACCTTAGAGATTTGTTTGTTATATGGAGTAATATTTGTGCATCCTACTGCACAAAAAATCGCTCGCCATGCTCGTGCTTCACGTTCCCGAAGTTCATGATCCAAACCGTATACTTTATTAAGGTGGGTATGTAATTCAATTACATTGCTTTTTTGTTGCTTCCAAATTTGAAATACCCGATGCCATTCTTCAATGGATTTACCAACCGCTTTTTTTAAGTGTAAGTCAAAGAAATGTTCCATAATCATTTTGTTGTCCCAATCTGCTAATGTACATTTGTCAGGCATTAATTTTTGATGGGAAAATTTTGTTTGATCGAGTTTTTGTAAGGTTAGTGGGTGGTTTACACCAAATAAAGTGTCCCCCGAAATAGATTTTAGCACACCAGTTTTATGCCAAACAGCATTGGGCGAATTTTCATTAAACTTTGCTATAATTTGACTATTTTGATAAATTTCAATTGAGTATAAACTATCATTTTTTATACTTTGAAAAAAAACCGATTGCTTTGCTTTGTACTTATAAAATAATGAAGATGTATAATTGTAACCAATCGTTTTTTGATTGGGATGTGTAATTTTACCAAGAGAACCAACAAAAATAGATAAATTTTCTATTTCAATAATAAATGGATAAAAAACAACACCTTCTAATAATTTTTGAGATGTTTTGGGTTGTTCTAAACCTAAATATGAAAGACCTGCAAATTTTGCTTTAGTGCCAAAAACGGCTTGGTAAACAGATGTAATTGCCATAGAAGAACTCGTAACAATACCACTACTTTGCCCATCACCTTCGCATATATAACCAGGCTGTAAGTGACTATGTATATAACGAACCACGCGAATAATAAAAGATCTTTTATTAAGCTGTATCATAATTTCAAGTCCTAGACGTAATGGAATCGCATATGATACATTTTGACTGTCTTTAGAAAAGATCCACCAATCGCGTAAGTATGGACCATAGTGAAGTTCTGGTACAATAGTACCTGTTACAACAAGTTCACCAGGAGTTATACGAATATTAGTCATTCGGATTCTTGAGGCAATAGAGATTTCAAATAAACATTTTTTTATTAATAATTATAGCGCCGCAATTTACTATATAATTTCTATCGATCACATGCGGATCTGCAATTAA